CTTGACGACTATGTCATCTACATACGCTTCAATGACACTCCCAAGCAGGTCGCTGAAGACCTTATTCACCATTCTTTGGGAAGTAGCTCCAGCATTTTTCAAGCCAAACGGCATAGCTGTATAAGAATATGTCCCAACATCGATTACGAAGGAGGTCTTCTCCTGGTTCGACTCTGCCATGGAGATCTGATGGTACCCAGAAAATGCATCCAGATAACTCAATTGCTCATGACCTGACGTGGTATCCACAAAGTGATCTATTCTGGGTAGGGGTACGAGTTTTTTGGACATACCTTGTTAAGTTCGGTCTACACACATGCGCCATTTTCCATTCGACTTCTTCACCAGGAAAACGTTTGCTAACCATTCGGGATATTGTATTTCTCTAATGAACCCTGCTTGCAATAGCTTGTCGACCTCATCCTTTGCCGTAGCATGTCGCTCTGGGGCAAGGTTTCTTTTCTTCTGTTTTATTGGCTTTGTGCCCGGTAGAACACCAAGGCGATATTGTGCAACAGAGGGATCAATCCCTCGAATATCGCTGGGCACCATGCAAAAACGTCTAAATTGCTAGACAGACACTTCACCAATTCTTCTTTTTCCCTTGGCCCCAGGTCTGTCCTTATGTTGAATTCACGCCCTCCAGCCACTAATTTTTTTTTCGTAGTATTGAGGGGCTCAATTTGCCCCCTTGGAAGCTCAAGATCCAACATCATTATCGGTGGTGATTCTTTCGCCCGTATACTATCAACATAACACTTCCCCGAAGACTGCTGGTCGTCCCTCACACTCCCTACACCATGACTGGTTGGGGATTTCATCACTTGATGGTAGGTGGAGGGAATTGCCCAGCAGCATTCAGTAGGGGTTGATCGTATATTGCATTCTACACCGTGGGAGTTTTGACAACTAAGAAATTTGTCAAGATCACCACCCTTGCAGGATAGGTACCTAATGTCATCGGTAATTCCACGACTCCCTTGGTATCACGGTAGCCCCTCCAAATCCTAGGAGGGGGGTGGACAGTGGTTTCAATTTTTCTAAAGGAATTTTCAACCCCACAAAAGCTTCCCAAGTGAGAACGTTCGCGGCACTACCACCATCAACTAGCACCCTTTTGACATCGTAGTCTGCTATGTCGTCGACTATCACCAAGGTATCATGATGGGGGGCGGTCACTCCTACTAAATCCTTTTTCAGAATGGAGTAGACCCGATTGTGCATCCGTAGCTCTTTCTTGCTGAATTCGAGTATCCCCCTGATGCGATCCCACCAATAATCACATTTGTGACATGCCCTGGGCGGTGATCGGTCATCCACTTTTTGCTTACCTCGATCATTTCTTGTTTATTTAGCCAGAAAACCCCGTTTCAATAGGCATTCGATTTCCTCCTTCAAATGGATACACGCTTCCGTATCGTGTCCATGGTCCTTATAGAAATGGCAATACTTGCTTTTATCCCTCTTGCTGGCGGATGCTGCCATCGGTCTTAGCTAGTCAAGCTCTTTCATATCCCTGATCTCCATCAATATCTTGGCTCGAGGTGTATTCAAGGAGGTGAAGGCCTTGTCCTCCTCTCGCCTGTCTGATGGACCGATTCGGAACATAT